AACAATTCAAAATAGCATATTTGATCATTTAATGCGAGGGCTCTTTAGATTCAGTTTTCTCAGACGAAATACTGTTTCTTATGGGTTTATAAAATGACGAACTCTCAAACATTGTTTATAACAATATGAATTTGTTATAAACAATTCAAAATAGCATATTTGATCATTTAATGCGAGGGCTCTTTAGATTCAGTTTTCTCAGACGAAATACTGTTTCTTATGGGTTTATAAAATGACGAACTCTCAAACATTGTTTATAACAATATGAATTTGTTATAAACAATTCAAAATAGCATATTTGATCATTTAATGCGAGGGCTCTTTAGATTCAGTTTTCTCAGACGAAATACTGTTTCTTATGGGTTTATAAAATGACGAACTCTCAAACATTGTTTATAACAATATGAATTTGTTATAAACAATTCAAAATAGCATATTTGATCATTTAATGCGAGGGCTCTTTAGATTCAGTTTTCTCAGACGAAATACTGTTTCTTATGGGTTTATAAAATGACGAACTCTCAAACATTGTTTATAACAATATGAATTTGTTATAAACAATTCAAAATAGCATATTTGATCATTTAATGCGAGGGCTCTTTAGATTCAGTTTTCTCAGACGAAATACTGTTTCTTATGGGTTTATAAAATGACGAACTCTCAAACATTGTTTATAACAATATGAATTTGTTATAAACAATTCAAAATAGCATATTTGATCATTTAATGCGAGGGCTCTTTAGATTCAGTTTTCTCAGACGAAATACTGTTTCTTATGGGTTTATAAAATGACGAACTCTCAAACATTGTTTATAACAATATGAATTTGTTATAAACAATTCAAAATAGCATATTTGATCATTTAATGCGAGGGCTCTTTAGATTCAGTTTTCTCAGACGAAATACTGTTTCTTATGGGTTTATAAAATGACGAACTCTCAAACATTGTTTATAACAATATGAATTTGTTATAAACAATTCAAAATAGCATATTTGATCATTTAATGCGAGGGCTCTTTAGATTCAGTTTTCTCAGACGAAATACTGTTTCTTATGAGTTTATGGAATGACGAACACTCAAACATTGTTTATAACAATATGAATTTGGTATAAACTTTCAAAAATTGTATTTGCTGATAAACAAATGCGTACACTACATGAATTCAAATATTCTCAACATTATAGTAACACCTATAGTCGTCATTCAAGGAAATGGTATTAACTTTTTCTCTAATAAAATGCGAACTATATGATTTCTCATTATCGATACATCATATTGATGATTCGATTCCGGTGATTCATTATAACATAGCAACGTTGCAAAATATATCGCGAATGCTCCACAATCTATTCCGTTATCTTGCTGTTGGACTTTGTGGCACACATAATTCTTTTCGAATTTATATAACGCATTCAAATATTGAATTTGCTCTATATCTAAGCGATTTCTATTTAAACTATCATATATGTGAACATTTCCATTCCCATCATATTTTGTACATATCCAATGACCTATTTCATTTACACCGAGGTTACCGCCATATAGAATTTGGATATTCGTGTACGACTTAGGAATTGGTTGTATATTATCAACGAATGCACCAAGGTAACCTACATTCTGCGCTAAGCTGTACTTTCCTTGTAATTGCAACTCCTTATTCATAATCTCTTGGAATAAATTTATATGATTATCATTTAAATATGTTTGAGGAAGAGATACTATTTTACATTCTTCTTCAGATATTTTAAAGTTGAAAACTTCTCTACTATTGTCTCCAATTTTTTCATTGCATGGTTCCTTCAAATTAACATTACTAATATCATTTTTTAGGTTTTGATTATTTTCTTTATCATTACTTCCATTCTCATTAATACTACATTTATTTCTAATTGAACAATTAATGATCACATATATTGGCTTGTGGTAACTAAAATATGTTTCATAAACTCCACATTGTGTTATCGAAAAATTCGAAAATATTACATCTATTTGTGTGTATAAAGACGTTGTAATGCTATCCGATGGCAATGCTGTTAACATTTGATATCTTTTCAAAAAATCAATAAAGTAACAATCTTGTTTAAATTTTTCATGATTAACTATGTTAAAATTAAAATCTCCCATAAATATAACATGACTATTAAAAGGCAACATTTCTATGATTTTATTAAAAGTTATCTCAAACATACTTTTCGTTGCTCTGGGGGATTTATAACCACTTATAAGAAAATAAGTTTCTATTTTCATAGTAAACAATTGGACATATCCATTTTCACTATAAGATTGTTGTACTGATAAAATTTCCGTAAGAAAATTATTTTTTACGTAACATATTAAGCCACGATTTTGACTTTCACTATCAATTCTCAAAATAACACTATAATTCTCAATGTCTATTTGATCGTCATGATTTGTTAAAGTTTCGCTGAAAATTAATACATCTGCCCGTAAATACCATTCATCAGCAATAATATTATTGAGTTTTGTTTTTAATGTACCAAGATTTTGGTATACTACTACAGTTCCTATCACACTCTCAAAAGTATTATACGAAAATTTTAGTTGTTTTTCAGTTCTCAAACGGTCTAATTCGATTAATGCTGGACTCTTTACACTCAGTTGCTGTCTTTTTGTTGGTATTTTAAATTCACCGAGTATAAATAATCCACTTAATTTAGTCACTCGACTTAAAGCAACATACAACAATGGTAAACTCCGAGTTTCTTTCACAGTAAAATCGAGACATATGGTGTCATATGTTTGACCTTGACTCTTGTGAATAGTAATTGCTTCTGCAGGCACCACAGGAAACTGATTCTGATTCATCATGTATTTATTTTGGCCATTCATATATGTTTGAATAGAAATTCTTTCTATTGGTGTTAAAGTCTGATCTATATTATTATTCATGATATGATCACGATAACGAGTTCGACCTTTTAAGCCTACTCTCGGAATTGAAAAATCTATCCATAGTAGCGATGGTATATCATTGTCTTTACATTCGACGTATTTCAGAATACCACAAGCACCATTAACTAATCCGTCTTCAACATCGATATTACTTATTACCATATATTTAATGTCGACTTTCAATTCAATTACGTCAGGTAACTCAATTGAAGTTCGATTCTTAATCGATTCCACCTGCATTTCTTTTTCTGAATCTGCCATATCCTTGAAATATATTATTTTAGCCTTGGAAATAAATAATTGGTTTGTACACTGCAATATTCTTTCTGCATTATACGCTTGCACATTTTTATTAGTAGCATACAATCTTATAGCAGTTTTTGGAATATTATTCTTATTTTTTATTTCTCGAGATTTAATTAAGTTAATATCTTCTGCAGTCATTATTCCCAAAGCTAAATTATTTAAAGCATTTATAAATGATAAATCGTCTTTTTGTCGCATTATTTCAGTCAATTCATAAAAAACAAAGTGATTCCACAAAGGATTTACATCAAAAAATGATACCATTTCATTATGTCCAGACACATGATAAACGGGTTTATCACGAACAGGAGGTAATTGATTCAAATCTCCAACTGTAAGTACTGATACACCGCCAAATGGTTCATTGACTCCCCTTATCTGTCTCAATCTTGTATCGATATAACCAAATATAGTAGACCCAACCATTGAAATTTCATCTATAATTAATAATTCAACATGATCTAAATAATATCGTATATTGTTTGCCGTATTATCAGATAACTTTGGCAAATTCACACCATATTGATTGCAAGGTAATGAAAATGCAGAATGCAATGTTACACCATTGATTAAGAATGCAGCTTTACCGGACGGAGCACACAATAATACTCTTATTTGATCATTATCTCCACCAGGTAGTTCATCAAAATAGTTAGTTATCAATTGAAATAAGGTATTGATGACAGTACTTTTACCAACACCAGCTGATCCACTAAGAAATATTCTGAATGGAGTGCTACCAGTTTTAAAACAATTGTAGACATGTATAACAATTTGTCTCTGCTTCGTATTTAATGTTTTCATCATATCTAACAAACTTTCTTTTGATACTCTAGGTGGGCTTGTGTATCGCACTTTCTGTACCGATGAATCAATTTTTTGCTTGTTTACTTTTTCATCACCGGCTTGTTGAAAAAGATCGACATTTTGATCATTAAATGATTCACATCCGTCATTTCCATTAATATCATCCCGAAAATCATTATCTTTTTGAACTTGTTCTAATACACAATCAATTTCATTGTCACTAATTATTGAAAACATTGCTTGATTTTTTATTATAATTTCCTTGTTTTCATTATAAATTAATTCATATTTATCATTTTCAATGTCTGATTTCTCATTTCTCCACGGCAAGAATAGTAATATTTGCTCTCTATAATAATTTGCTGGATCTTGTTCCAGCTTATACCTTCGATATCTAATAATTGCTGATTTTTGACGTTTTGTATTATTTTTATCACAATTATCGATATCCATAATCTCATCATCATTACTGTTCAATTTTTTTGTTTTATTCATATTATAATTAGCTGCGAAATCCGCTAAACAAATATTATCAAGATTTAATTCTCTTTTACTATATTTTTCAAAAATATCAGGCATATAAATTTCAGTAGAATTTGCTTCTAACAATTTCAATGCTTTTTCTGATTTCAACATTAAAACACGTTCTGCTATTGGGCTCGTATTTATAAATACAGATTTTCGACTCTTTTTCGATAGTTGCATCGATAAAACATGATACACACCCTCTTGAGCAGACATTAAATTACTATTTAAAAATACATTTGCAAGGGTGCGAAGTTTTTCTTTTATAGATTTGTTTCCAACATCACAATCTTGCGCAGCATCTCTCAATAGTTTAGACAAGCCGCCTTCAATTTTACTAATATAATTTGTAACATAGCTTATAAGAGCATACTCATCAAGGATAAATTGCAAATCAATATTCGATTCAAATAATTGTAAAATATGTTTATTATACGCNGGTATAAAATCATTGGATATACCGGCTGGAGCACTCTGGCTTACGGAAGAAGGTATCGAAGATAAAATGGAATACGAAAGAGCTTACAATCCACATACCCTCCAAGAAGGTTGGAAAATTTTAGAAGAAAAAAGACAAAATGAAGAAGAAACTATTCGACTAAGGTACTTAGTATTTTTCAAAACTTTCGTACAACCATTAGATATAATTAATTCTCGATGTAAAAAACGTTACTAAAAATTGACAATAATAATCTAAATGTTTTCCAGGGATAAAGAAATAGGAGAAAATCTCAAGAAACGTTTCGTCTGGGAGAAAGAGTTGCAAGATAAAATAGCCAAGAAAGCAGAAGCATTACGTGTTGCTCGAGAAAAGAAATCTCGATTAATTGATGAAGTTTGTCGAAAGTTAGGTTTTGCGGTGAATCCGCGAGACCCTAAGTTCCAAGAAGCCCTTGAAAAAATTAACATTGATTTAAGAATCATTATGATAATGTAGATGATAACAATATGTATGAAAATCAAATTGTTCTAGTTTTTTTGATGAAATCGACGAAAAAAACAAGAAATCCGAGGTTTTTATTGAAGAAAAAAAATGTAAAGAACGAAAAATAACATTGATCGAATCTGAAACAACTTTTATATTTAAACTATTACAACTAACAAAAAACTTGGATACTTCTACTAGTGGAATGGTGTCAACGGGTAGCAATGAATACGAAAATGTTAGAGATAAATTAGATTCAATTAGAACAGTAGTCGATAGTGCAACACAAACATTGACAATTCTCATGAAGCCTAAGTTTACATATTTGACAACATCGAAAATGATTAATTGTGCAAATTCGACTAACAATTGGATAATGTATGATACATACTGTACTAAATTTGTGAATGAATCGAGCCAGTTACTTGATAACAAAATATCAAATGAAATATTTGATTCGTCAGAAGTAGAAGCTGTAAGTATTAACTAAGAAGTGAGTAGTTACATATGTAAGAGAAAGATATGTTTATTAATAGAGGCATATTAATTTTCAGAGTCGTTTGAAATTTATGAAACTGAGTAGTGACTTAAGAATGAAAGCAGATAAAATGACTTGTTTGTACGAAAATGTAAGATTTGCTGGTGCAGTGAGAGAGATGGAACAAATAATATGTTTGAATTTGAATGCTCAGAAATGTTTCAGAGGCCTGACAAAATCTAATAAATACGATTTAGAGTCAAATATTAATTACCGTTTACAATATCTGTGGAGTTTTATTTATATTGATTTAAAAAAAAGAAGAATAAATAGTGTTTGTTGGAATGGAAAAAATTCCAATCTTCTGGCAGTCAGTTATGAAGGAGAATTGAACGAATGTAGTAGAAATATTTTAATTTGGAACATGAAACATCATTCTCAACCTGAACGATTATATAGACTGAATTTTGCAATCTCAGATATTAATTGGAGTACTAAGAAACCGAATCTCTCAAACATTGTTTATAACAATATGAATTTGTTATAAACAATTCAAAATAGCATATTTGATCATTTAATGCGAGGGCTCTTTAGATTCAGTTTTCTCAGACGAAATACTGTTTCTTATGGGTTTATGGAATGACGAACACTCAAACATAAGATAAATAACCATGGATCCATATATGTTAAGGTGAGTAGAGTAGTAATTATTACTAGTTAATGAAGTATCATGCGAAAGATTCAATATAAAAATTATAATTTACATTCTTGCAAAATTTGTACTCTAACGCATAGTTTTTTTTTTATTTCACAAGCATATGTTGAAGTTTGATATATGATGTTTTAATTTTCAGCCATCAGATAAAATTGTTAAAGTTTATTACTCTTCTACAGTAATCATTATTACAAAATGATTTAAAGCACATTTTCCCTTATTCAAGCGAAATATTAAAAAAAAAATAAATATTCGTGCAACAATTAACAAATTAACTTATTTTCAATTTAATCTCATTGTCATTTCAGCAAATTCAATAGAAATATCAAAGTACTTTTGATTTCATTTTTTTTTTGAAAATAGTAAATTAAATAATATTATTTACGAAATTACTTGGGTATGATTATTTTAGGTTTTTTAGAGCAAAAATATTTGTAAATAAATATAAAAAATTACATACATATTACATATATATTTTCTACTTTATAATTATCGATATATGTATAAAAAAATATGATTATTTACCTTATATTTTACTGTATTCACAATTATTCACTATTAGACACAAATTTTATTTATAATTTTTAATTAAACAAACTTTATTCACCACTTTTTATCACAAAACTTTTCAATTTCAATCGTCTCAAACCTTTATTATGTTACTATGGCAACGCGTATTCCAATTTGATTGGTCGTTCAGAATCCATCATTTTTAATTACATAAATTACCACAAGAGGCATTGTTTAAAAATTCATAATATGCAATATGTGATGAATGTAATCCTAAAACAAGAGGCATTGTTTAAAAATTCATAATATGCAATATTTGATGAATGTAATCCTAAAACAAGAGGCATTGTTTAAAAATTCATAATATGCAATATTTGATGAATGTAATCCTAAAAAAATAAGATATTTATATTTATTTTACATTATCTTCTTTTTTGAATGAATCATCTAAACGTAATTGTCTAATACGTTGCTGAGTTTTTACATTCTCTTCTTTTTTGAATATTATAATTAGCTGCGAAATCCGCTAAACAAATATTATCAAGATTTAATTCTCTTTTACTATATTTTTCAAAAATATCAGGCATATAAATTTCAGTAGAATTTGCTTCTAACAATTTCAATGCTTTTTCTGATTTCAACATTAAAACACGTTCTGCTATTGGGCTCGTATTTATAAATACAGATTTTCGACTCTTTTTCGATAGTTGCATCGATAAAACATGATACACACCCTCTTGAGCAGACATTAAATTACTATTTAAAAATACATTTGCAAGGGTGCGAAGTTTTTCTTTTATAGATTTGTTTCCAACATCACAATCTTGCGCAGCATCTATATTCTCAACATTATAGTAACACCTATAGTCGTCATTCAAGGAAATGGTATTAACTTTTTCTCTAATAAAATGCGAACTATATGATTTCTCATTATCGATACATCATATTGATGATTCGATTCCGGTGATTCATTATAACATAGCAACGTTGCAAAATATATCGCGAATGCTCCACAATCTATTCCGTTATCTTGCTGTTGGACTTTGTGGCACACATAATTCTTTTCGAATTTATATAACGCATTCAAATATTGAATTTGCTCTATATCTAAGCGATTTCTATTTAAACTATCATATATGTGAACATTTCCATTCCCATCATATTTTGTACATATCCAATGACCTATTTCATTTGAAAGTAACAAAGATTTCAACATATACTCAAAAAAAAAAAACAGTAGAAACGTGAATTGCTGCAGTAATTCTTCTTCTGCACCATGTAATTCGTTAAAGCACGGTAAAGATAGGAACGGTTTTTCTTCACACTCGTCACAGTAAGTATCGACTTTTAGGGTACGATTAGAAGCGTACCTTCTGTCATGAAGTTGGTTATTCTTGTAACAATTCTTGCAACATCTTCTTACCTTGTGCTTACTTATTCCTTCTTTTCTCTTTAGTGTATGTACTCGACATCTTTTTGGATGTAATTCAATGTCTGATTCTTCATCTGTCGCATTTGTGAGGTGTGTTATAACTTGCTTTTTGAAGTCTGTAATGCTAATATTTTGCTGCGTAGCTTGTTCGTATAATATAAAAGCATTTACCATAGATGCTGTCAACAGTAATTCAAATGCTATTTTCCTATACCACTTAAGTGATCGTAGAAGAGGATTTGAGTAGGATCCCATTTGATCAGATAAATCTACTGGAGCCTTGCCACGGTTATAATCTACTATAATTTTAGGAACTTCCCTAACCCGTCCATTTTTAGTTTTTTGAACCATTTCATCATCGTGTTTGTCGGTCAACATGAGTACCTCTCTCTGGTCTTTCCATTTGAGTATTGTTATTCCATCAGGGTTTTCCATTGCGCATACATCTCCTTTTTTTAGTTTCCCATTCACGTTTTTTGGCAAATTCTTGCGATTCTTTCGAATCGTACCTATCAAATGAGTGTCAGCCGCGATCATCTTGTTTGCCAAAGATACACCTGTGTACCAGTTATTGGTGACTAATGTTCGCCCCTTTCCCATAGCATTTTGTGAAAGAGATATCACAATATTTTCTGGTGTGATCCGTTCACCATTGGCTTCAGTACCTGCGTAAATCTTCATGGAGTATGTATAGCCGGTGCCCGAACACAGCTTGAATAGCTTGACACCATATTTGTGCCTTTTAGACTTTATATACTGTCTTATCGTCTTATCGATAATCTACCTCTAAAAGGTAGCATAGTTTCATCAACACATACGTACTTGTCAAAGAGTATACAAAGCTTTGTAATTTTGTTTGTCTAATAATTTCCGTATTTTGTGCAGTTTTTCTCCTGGTGAAACGTCATTATTATCAGCAAAGTGAATAGTTCTTAGCAATAATTCAAAATGATTACGGCTAATTATAGAAGGAAAATTTGTTTTAAACAAGGGACCTGTAGACCAGTAGTCTGCAAGTTTGGGCATTTTGACTAATCCCATCCATGCAATAAGACCTAAAAACTTTCTTATTTCTGATTTAGATGTTGGACTCTACTCACGTAAACGTGAGTTATTAGTTGTGCCATTTCCTAGTAACAAACAAGTGGCGTAGTGACTTGTTTGATCTACAATAAGAGTAAAAGCTTGCAATTGGTCCCCAATCATTGCCATCACCATGAACTGGTGCAGGCGGTTCGTTAGAAGAAACTGACTCGACCCCTTCTGTTACGTGGTCGAAGGGATTATCTGCTAATTCAAGTCCGTTTCCGTTATCAATAGCTTCCGCATTATCAACACTTGTTTTCTCATTATCAGCACTTATTTTCCAGTTTTCTAAATTGTCACGGGGCAAAATATTATTTTTCGAAAATTTATTACAATTCTTTTACTTGTAAGTAAAATGTTACCTTTCTTTCCAGACAAACTCAGCTTAATTTACTTTACGATACTTGCAGCAACTTATTAGTAATTTAACGGTTTTCTTCTCTCACCAGTTACAAGGTTAAGATAAAAACTACTGTCGGTACTCAAGCCCCTTTGTCGCTTGTACATACACTCAAATTTGGTAAAGGTCTAGANATCGTCTCAAACCTTTATTATGTTACTATGGCAACGCGTATTCCAATTTGATTGGTCGTTCAGAATCCATCATTTTTAATTACATAAATTAAAACAAGAGGCATTGTTTAAAAATTCATAATATGCAATATTTGATGAATGTAATCCTAAAAAAATAAGATATTTATATTTATTTGAATTATAATAATAATAATCACGTAATACTTAAACCGGTGTTATCGATATTTATTTATTAAAAATAATTCAATTCCGAAATTTTTGAAAGATTTCAAGAATAAAAAGTTACATTGAACACCATCTATGAGAATATATTGTCAACATCAACCAAACCCAATGTTGGTATGACGAATGGATTCAGTTGAAAACAAATGGAGCACTCGTCAGTAGATTGTTTGAATACACGTGAAATAAACTAGTCAGTAGATTGTTTGAATACACATGAAATAAAAAATTTTTTTACTTTTTAAGCAACAATGAACGTTTTCACTAAATACAGTAAATATTTATTACGTTCATGTATCTATTATGAGAAGGTTTTTGCTCTAACATTCACATGACATTATGCAAAAACTAAATGGAAAGATGAAGAGCTTGATTCAATCTCAATAGAAGAAACTCCAAAATATATAGACACAATATTTGATGAACAACAACAAGAAATTTTAAAGAAAAGAAATAAATCTCAACTGAATCCTCAGCATCATAATATTCTATTTAATAGACGACTTTATAATCAAAGTATAGAAGACTTTCATGATACTATAAAATACAAAAGAAAATTGCTAAGTAGATATGGTATAAAATCATTGGATATACCGGCTGGAGCACTCTGGCTTACGGAAGAAGGTATCGAAGATAAAATGGAATACGAAAGAGCTTACAATCCACATACCCTCCAAGAAGGTTGGAAAATTTTAGAAGAAAAAAGACAAAATGAAGAAGAAACTATTCGACTAAGGTACTTAGTATTTTTCAAAACTTTCGTACAACCATTAGATATAATTAATTCTCGATGTAAAAAACGTTACTAAAAATTGACAATAATAATCTAAATGTTTTCCAGGGATAAAGAAATAGGAGAAAATCTCAAGAAACGTTTCGTCTGGGAGAAAGAGTTGCAAGATAAAATAGCCAAGAAAGCAGAAGCATTACGTGTTGCTCGAGAAAAGAAATCTCGATTAATTGATGAAGTTTGTCGAAAGTTAGGTTTTGCGGTGAATCCGCGAGACCCTAAGTTCCAAGAAGCCCTTGAAAAAATTAACATTGATTTAAGAATCATTATGATAATGTAGATGATAACAATATGTATGAAAATCAAATTGTTCTAGTTTTTTTGATGAAATCGACGAAAAAAACAAGAAATCCGAGGTTTTTATTGAAGAAAAAAAATGTAAAGAACGAAAAATAACATTGATCGAATCTGAAACAACTTTTATATTTAAACTATTACAACTAACAAAAAACTTGGATACTTCTACTAGTGGAATGGTGTCAACGGGTAGCAATGAATACGAAAATGTTAGAGATAAATTAGATTCAATTAGAACAGTAGTCGATAGTGCAACACAAACATTGACAATTCTCATGAAGCCTAAGTTTACATATTTGACAACATCGAAAATGATTAATTGTGCAAATTCGACTAACAATTGGATAATGTATGATACATACTGTACTAAATTTGTGAATGAATCGAGCCAGTTACTTGATAACAAAATATCAAATGAAATATTTGATTCGTCAGAAGTAGAAGCTGTAAGTATTAACTAAGAAGTGAGTAGTTACATATGTAAGAGAAAGATATGTTTATTAATAGAGGCATATTAATTTTCAGAGTCGTTTGAAATTTATGAAACTGAGTAGTGACTTAAGAATGAAAGCAGATAAAATGACTTGTTTGTACGAAAATGTAAGATTTGCTGGTGCAGTGAGAGAGATGGAACAAATAATATGTTTGAATTTGAATGCTCAGAAATGTTTCAGAGGCCTGACAAAATCTAATAAATACGATTTAGAGTCAAATATTAATTACCGTTTACAATATCTGTGGAGTTTTATTTATATTGATTTAAAAAAAAGAAGAATAAATAGTGTTTGTTGGAATGGAAAAAATTCCAATCTTCTGGCAGTCAGTTATGAAGGAGAATTGAACGAATGTAGTAGAAATATTTTAATTTGGAACATGAAACATCATTCTCAACCTGAACGATTATATAGACTGAATTTTGCAATCTCAGATATTAATTGGAGTACTAAGAAACCGAATCAATTAGTTATTGGATGCTATAATGGAATAGTTAAAATTATTGATGTGAGTAATAGACACTTGGCAATATTATGCGTTATTACTCAAAAATCTGTATATAAATATTTACGTATCTGGAATGTTAAATGTTGGTGTGATGATGATCATGAGTATATTTTAACGAGCAATGAAGATGGGAAAATTTTCTGCAGTAAAACGAAGGACGATGATGGTATGACAGAGAAAATAAAAGTATCAAGAACTGATAATAATAATTGGAAGCAGAAGAAAAACCAAATTAATAGTTTCGAATCACGGTAAAGCCTGTTTATTATTTGGTGAAGTTGATAATGTAAAGTAATTGTTGATAAATAGCAAAAAAGATGGAAGTCGAAGAAAAGAAACGCAGAAGAGAATTGAAGAAACAAGAATTAAGACCGAAAAGAGTATGAAAAAAATCGAAAATAAATCTTCAAAAAAACCTGAACCTACGTAAACAATCTAAGTTTCAAGGTTCATTAATTGATGGTATATAGATAAATTTTATTAACTATTATTACTTTACTAAAAATAAGAAACGATCAATATATTAGTGTTTAATCAAAAAGCTGCAAAAGTTAAACGATTTTTAATTGTGGAAGGCATCTACATTAACACTGAACAAGTTTGTCCACTTCCCGATTTAATAAAATTTTGTAGAAATAAATTAAGAATTTTTATTGATGAATCTGTATCTTTTGGAACACTCGGAAAAAATGGAAAAGGAGTAACTAAGCATTTTGGTGTTCCTAGACATGAAGTCAATCTAATAATGGGTAAATGTATATGATTAAATTTTTTTGTCTTTAAATGAAACATTAATAATTAAAAATATTTTTAGAATATCTTGAATGGGCGATAAACTCAATTGGCGGTTTCTGTGCTGGTTCATCATTTATTATTGAACATCAACGGCTTTCTGGACTTGGTTATAGTTTTCTGCATCACTTCCTCCACTTTTAACTGCTGCAGCTATTACATCTCTAGATATCATTGAAGAAGATCCAAGCATTATTGATAAATTAAAAAATAACTGCTTCACTTTTCAAACTAGATTGAGTGAACTACCGCATTACCTGTGAAACATTCATATCTAAGAAAACAATATGACCGATCTGAGGAGCAAGAATTATTATTGAAAATATCCAAAAAGTGTATAGAAAATAATTTAGCAGTGATTCAACCTGCTTATTTGGATACTGAAAAGAAATTGCCACGCCTAAGTCTACGACTGTGTATTTCAAGTATTCTTGATACAGAAGATATTGGATTTTGCTATAGAAGTATTAGAACAATGTTCAAATGATGTTTTTTCCAGATACTAAATGATTATTAATATATTGAGTGAAAATAAAGCTATGGGATTTTAGAAATGATTAACCTAAAATGAATTGGGAAGAAAATAAGAATAAATTTTTTTTAATCTTCATCATAACATAAACTTTCTATTAAAAAAGGTTTTTAATAGTACATCTTAGACGCATAATAGTTTAATTTTATCAATCAAATTAATTATTCAATAAGAATGTTCAAGATCAATGTTACTTCCACAATCATATGCGCTGGTTATATTATTAATTACTACATTAAGTTCTTGTTCTTCTACAATGACTTAATCATTGATAGGTGAATCATTCATCTTTTCTATTAAGGATTCCATTGTAACACAATTTTATAAATACAATCATAATAATTATTTGAATTTAGACCGACAAAACTAAACATTACTCTAATTGCTGTGGAAGTGCATTGTCGATAAATATTAAGTTATGACATCAGTTGTATCGCATACAAAACGAGTTAGAATTTTGTATGAAACCATTTTAAGACTACATCGTGGAATACCAACTGAAATTCAATCTCTAGGGAATAATTATGTTCGTGATAAATTTCGTAGGCATAATGAATTAGAAGCTAACATTTTTATGAATAAGTGGACGGTAAGATTGTTATATAAAATATGTCATCTACCATTAAGATTAATTATTTTTATTTTATAGGATTATGCAATATCTTTAGCAGAACAATTAAGCTTAAAAGGACC